CAGCCATGCTGGCTGGGGGATTCTGGGAGTTGAAGTCCACTCATCTTAAAGTGGCCAAGTTTGGACAACACTGCCGTACACACATGCCACTTGCTAGAATCCCCTTTGCAGAAGTATGGTGACGTGGTGGGCTTGGAACCTTTCCTCCTGCATGCTTCAAATTTCAAAGCAAGCTTTCTCTGCCATCAAATCAATACGTTTCAAAAGAAAGAAAAAAAGCCAGCAACACAGTACCTTACATATTTACTCTATGAAGTTGAAGGCAGATACCAAAGTTTGAAATTTGTCCTAACTGCTATAATTGCCACTATATTTGATAAAACACAACTGGTCCAAAAGTTAGTCATATATAAAATAAGGAGAATAAATAGACTGCATCCTTACATTAGAGATCAAATCAGCGAAGGTTCAATTTGAACTTAAAATTTAATTTGAAGGATTGGTTTAATGTGATCCAAATTTGCAAATCAAATCATGAGATCAATTCACTTCAAAAACTCTATTCAATTTGGCCTGCATATTAAATCTCTGAATCAGTTCAGAGGCACCCAATTCTGTTAGATGTGAGGAATCAATTGGACATTTCATTTGGGGCATTCATTCCGGGATTTGTTTTAACTGAGTTCTTAATGGCTTTTCAAAAGTTTAAATGAACTCCCACACAATTTTTAAGGTTTGTTTGCTTGTTTATTTATTTATTTGTTTATTTATTTATACTAGGCTTAAATGTGGCCCCTATCACCAACCAGGTTTACATTTCTACCATACATAATAAGGCTAAAATAACAATAGGGTTTTTTTTTCTCTTTCCATTCTCATAGCCTTTAACAGATAATTTTTCTCAGTATTCTTTATTTCATTGCCATAATCCCCTGTTACAAATACAGGTGGGCCTTTCAGTTTGAGAGATTGAGTGGCTTGTCTGAGATTACCTACTGAAATCAAATTCAGTTACATTGCTAAATCAATGACATTTTAGTAGATGCATTAAAGCCATAACCACTG